TCAAACAAAGTCTATTATTATTCTTCACAAGGGAAGTTGTCTGTGACACCTTGGGGTTTTTTTCTGTCACCCTGTTTCAGCAGGTAGTGCTGGCTTGCTCAGGGACCATTTCAGCAGATCATACACATTAGTCAAGATCTAAAATACCTCCCTGCACCATATGCTACCTAAAGTATAATAATCCTTTAATCTGTCCACTGCATGACATCTGGGCAGTTATTTGACTTAATAACTCATGTTGATTGTTCATATCAGTATGTATCAGAGGGGGGAAGCACCAAAGTAGTGGAAGAGAAATGAGGATTTAGAAAAATGCCTGTGGGGAAGTGCCTTGGATCAGGGGAGACCTACCTGTGGTGTGTCAGGTGACCAAACCACCTGATGTGGTTGTGTAAAATCTTTATATGAGAGTAATATTATTCTGAGATAAGCACAAAACAGGACAGGAGGGGGAAGATGAGCTACCGGGACCCAAGTTACAGAAGCGCATTAATATTTACTCGATATCTCTTTATACCCTCTAGTCAGCACAACAGATGTAGCTGTGTTTTAAGACATTAGAATTCATTGAAAAAGGCAACAAAGATACTCCTTCCCTCCCTCCTGCCCCCAGTAATTTCAGATGTTCACCATGCACACAGAGGGGGAGGAGGTAGAGAGAGAAGCACTGGTGGGAGAAGAATGCAATTATCCCAAAGCCTCCTGACGGGCATCCACTTCTTCCTTCCAGCTTAGCTGCTCTGACCACAGGCAGGGGGCTCGTGGGACATGGACCAGATTGAAAAAGTGGAAACAGACAGATGGTTATTTGTAATCATCATGTAAATGTAAATCCTATAAAAATGTTTTCTTTCTAAGGGCCTGAAAGCTGGAAAGAAGGATTAAGGCATGGATATCTAGCCTAGAATAATTTTGACCCCGCCACCTTCCCTCCTACCCCATAAACATCGTGCCTTTATCTCCACTTCCTTTAGACAAATTGCTGGAACCTCAGCTGAGGAAATTAATTCGGTTTCCATGTAATTCCCTGAGTTTACAAGCATTGGTTTGACCAAGGCCTGGATTTGGGGCTGAGCTGGCAGGTGCAGGTTAGCAGCTGCCTTGGGAGTGGGGGCTCCTTCTTGCTTCATTCCCCTCATCCCTCGCTCTGGCAGGTGCGTGCTCCACCTGTTTATCCCATTGCTGGATGTGCTCCTTTCCCTGGCTGCACTCCTGGCTACCTGGACATGGCCGTGCAGGGCTTTGCTTGCCTCAAAGACTGCCGTGACTGCTCGCAGACATCTATCTTGTTTGAGCAGCATCAGCTTGTTTGAGCCACAAAGAGACCGATCAAACTTTAATTAACTTCAGTCTGCAGCGCCGTTGTAGGCTGTGTGCACACTTTAGCTGTTCTTTGCAGCTCTCCAGTCCCCCGGTGCCTTTCCAGACAGCAGGGCTCGGCCATCTGGAAGCTTTTGCCCTTGCAAGGCTTTGCCTTTTGAAACGTGAGGGTGTTTGTGCTGCTGTCAGACTCATGGGGGGAGCAGCCCCTGGGGTACAGCTGTGCTGCGGTCCCAGGGCTGACATGCAGTGTGGGGAGGCCATCTTCCCCTTCGGCACCCCTTGCTTAGTCCTAAAATCACAGAAAGGTTTGGCTTGGAAGGGTCTTAAAGATCACTCAGTATCCCATGGGCAGGGACACCTTTCCTAGACCAAGTCACTCAGAGCTCCACCCAGACTGGCCTTGAACATTTTCAGGGATGGGGCATCCAGGACTTCTTTGGCCTCACCACCCTCACAGTAAGGAATGTGAGGTAACATCCAAAAATGTAGGGAAACACCCATGCGAGCATGAAGGGAACTGTCTGTAAAATTGGAAAAAAGCAAAGCAAGAACATCTAAGAAAGAATGAGGAAGAGAAGGCTGGCGGCAACATAGTGATGCTTGTATTGAATTTTTAAAACACTAGTTTTTGTGCCCTGCCAAAAAGGCCCTGAGGATGGCTGGCTTCTCATGTGAACAAAAGCCTTTTGCCTGTGTGTGGAGAGGGTGGTCTGCTCAGGCACACTAACAGTTATTTGGAAGTACCCAGCAATTGAGGATAATTGGCTGAGGAATATTCTGCAGCTCTCAATCATTTTTCTGTTTTCACAGATGGTTGTACCATTAGGTATGGTGAGTGCACCAAGATGTGCTGAAACTTTTCCATTTACTGTGCTAGTACGTGTGAACTCAACTTCCAGCTGATGGTTCTTCCTTCTGTGGCTTCCTGTGCCACTCCAGGAGGACAGCCAAGCTCACCAGCTCTGCCCTCCTCTTCCCTGCTCCCTCTCTCATATTTGGATGTTCTGGGGTGACTGGGCTGATCAAATTAACGTCTGTGCTTTATTTCATTGTTGTTAGATTGCATTAAAATACTGAATCACAGGAATGGCTACACAAGCTCTTTGCTCTTTACTTTGTTTTTCTCTCTGCTTTGATTCTTCTTTTTTCCCCTTCCTTTACCTGGCTTTTTCTTTTTTTTGTTTTCCTAAAGTTAGTCCTCCCTCTCTTCCTCTAAGAGTTATTTTCTCACTTTAATTTATATTTCATGCACTTTTCTCTTATCTTTGCTTTTCTGTCTCTGCTTTATTTTTTCTCTATTTCTTTTTTCTCCAACCTTTTTTTTCCCCTCCAAAACACAGAATGTTTTAGATGGAAATGGTGAGATATACTTATTCAAAATTCAGGTATGTGCTGAGGTACAGAGCAAGATTAAGCAAAGCCTGTAGCATCAATTTTGTCTTCTATTCAAGCCAGTTTTGCAGTGTGACTTTGGGTAAAAGAACGTGATAAAATCAAATCACCTCTTAGCCTCATATTCTGAGGCTGATTGGAACCTTACACAGTTGCTGGGATGATTCAGAGGAAGTTAATGTAATTTGCTGTGTATCATTGCAAGAACCTGTGTTTGTCAGGTTCATATAGCAGTGTGAAATGTTCAAGGAAAATGCTTTCCTTAATATTGCTGCCAGGAGTTAGGAGTCAGGAATATAAAGCCATTATGTGGTGGAATCTGCTGATTTTTCTGGGGATTTTCCACTAATGGATTTGCACTGAAGTTCTGTAATTACAAGTAGAACCAAGCCAATAAAAATAATATATATTTTGTGTGTAATAATATTAGCAGAAATTAATTTTTATCTATTTACCATTTATAGAAATATGGACATAGCCTTGTGTAGGAGTACTTTTTCTTCCTGTGTATCATGGGGATCACAGAGACTGAAGCTGCTTTCCTACAAACCATGTTTTTGTAAGGCTTTTTTCTGGTTCTTTCCCTGACATCCCCATGATATTGACTTTCTTGGCTTTCCAAAGTGTTGTATTGCCAATAGTCAGCAGCCCATGATCTTCATCATACTAATTCTGTGCTCTGCATTGCATAAGTTACTTTTTCCACTTGATCTTGAAGTTGTATTAATTCCATTTATGCCAATTTGGTTATTGCTAATCAGAAGGTTTTTATTATGCAGAAATCTTTGGGGATTGAGGTATTTGTTGTCTATTGGGTGTGTCACCTAAGAAGACTATGAGTTCTTGCCAGAGCTGTATTTGTTGCCAGCTGCCTCCTGTCACTTTTATTTTATGTTTCAAGAGCGAGACCTAAATAGTCACTCTTTTTGTGTGTGTGTGTGTTAGAAAAGGAATTATCTTCCAATTAATTCTCTCCTTCCTCTGGGATCTACCTGTGTATCCCAAAATGGAGAACAATAAAAGTTACTTCCATGTCATTTCGAGTGCCAGATATATACAGTCCACTCACCTCAGACTATTCAGAGACCAATTCTTGTATGTATCAATCATATTTTTCTTCTGGCTTATTACAGAAGAGAAAAATATTCAGTTCCAAATGTTAAAATGGGGCACGTTTTATTAACTTTGAAAGCAGTAAATTATCTCTGCTTATGAAATGAGACTGAGCAATTTCTGCTGAACTCTTCCTGACTTGCCCCTGCACTAGGATACAGTGTTTTCTAATTTCTCAGAGGGCCCTGGTTCCATTAAGGGCGAGAACTGTTTTAAAACTGTAATGAAAGCCATGCGTCGCTGAAATTCAAGGAGGGGCAATGCCCTAAATTCTATTTCAGTAGCTCATCTAGAGCTATTTTCAGTTTTATGTTTATAAGAATGTCAATTAACCTAGAGACTAGGACATACATGGAAGAATAAGGATGAAGTGGATATCATTCTAACACACTGAAGCCAGCTAGTTGGACCTAATCCTTTACAAAGCTTGATTTACATAAGAAGTTGGCCTGTGTTGCCTAATTTAGATCTCAAACAGCTTGGTGATTTAAATGCTTTTTCTTTTCAATGTAGTGGGATAGGGCTGGTCAAGGTGGCAAAAGTATTAGAACTAAAAATATAGAAGGAAGAAATAAATATGCTGGAAATACATTACTATCAGTTTTATTTCTCTGACAGCTTTCAGAATTGGTGACCATTTTAGCATGTATGTGCCAGGAATACAATAATAACAGTAATAATGGCAATGCCCTTAGCCAAGGTGTAACTGCAGTTCAGTATTAGTTCTGCCCCTTTTTTACCTTGTGCTGGAATGGGAGACCCAGACAAGGCAGATACTCAGCAGGTTGTTTCCTGTCATGAAAAGAATTCAACATCCAACCTGCAGAGCTGCTTTTGTCATGATGGAAAGTGATGCTGTCAAGGTTAAGAGGAGTAATGGGTGCTACACATCTCTGTAACTTAAATACAGAGCAGTGTTCTTATCTGGAAAGAAAAAAAGAAGGGAGAACAAAAGCCCTGTATGTGAAGTCTGCCTCCACTGGATGAAAGGGCACATCTGCCCAGTTTCATTTTTGAGATTTTTGCAGTCAATATAAGCAAAGTCATCCACTAATAATGGTTGAGACTTGTTTATTTAATAGTATGTATTTCTACTTTTTTTTTTCCTCCACTTACAATGTCATCACTTCTGTTATTTTTTTTTGTCCTCTTCCCTTCATTTATTTCTCTAGTGCTACGGGATGACTTCCGCCAAAACCCCACGGATGTGGTGGTGGCAGCTGGAGAGCCTGCAATACTGGAGTGCCAGCCGCCTCGAGGGCACCCCGAGCCCACCATCTACTGGAAGAAAGACAAAGTCCGCATTGACGACAGAGAGGAGCGGATCAGTGTGAGTACAGCTCAGTCAGGTGGATTTTTATCTCTGGACACGGGGCCCACAGCTGGGTGCAGCAGAATTTACACAGCTTTATAGCCTTGCACATAGAAATTTGTTGTTATTCTTGGCAGTTTGCCTCTCTGAGCTTTCCCAAATGAGGGGGTCAGGCTGTTTATTGTTCCTAGTCTGGATCTCCAGCTTGAGCTTCTTTGAGAGTTGGTTTGTAAATCTAGTGTTATGGAGGTCCATTAGAGCTGGAGATTCAGTCATGGAAGGTGCTCAGAAGGACTTAGTGGATGTCTTTGACCAGTTTGGTTTTACCTTTTCTACATCTCAGTTTTCCAAACAGAGAATATCAGAGGTGTTTATAAGTAAATTCAGTCAAATCTATGAGGTGCACAAATAATACCTGGGAAAAAACCCAACATCTTAGAATTATATCAATAAAGTTATAGTTATTGTGGTAATCTGGATGTGTTTAAATGTAGGCTGAAGTCATACTCTAAAGAATTATGGTTCCTGAAAAGGAATAAATGTTGAGCAAATGAGTAACACTGGTTGAGTTCTGTGGCCGTTCATTTCTTGCACTGAATGAAAAAGGATCCAGCAGAAATATTGAACTTAGCAAGTGATTAGAGATAAATCATAGTCCATACAAGCAAATGGGATAAATTAAGGGGTTGAGAACATGTTTCATTCCTAATTTTTAAATGCTTAGCTTTTCACCATTAATATTTCTTCAATAAAGTTTTATGTTGTATGGAATGATTCAGTGCTGACCTTATTCAACATGGAAGTACTATCAGGAAGCTTGTTAGTGGTTCTGGATCCCTAAGGAATTATTACAAGCCAAAGAATCTGCTAGGGTCTACTCAAGAGTAGAAGAGCAAGGAGTGGCAGAGAACTGGCTGTCATTCCCTGACTCTCAAATTTCTTTTGTTAAATTCTCTGCTTATTTTGAAGGACCCCATTGTCTAACCTCTGACGCTGTGACTTCACAGGCCACAAATTTTTTACTTTATTTCTTTCATCTATCCTGCTCTTCCTCTCTGTAGGCACCCTTTATAGCCATGAAAATATTGACTGTCAGGTGAATTCCCAGTTTGGGGCAGATTCAGTCTGTTTGCCCCAACAAAAAGAGAAAATATGTCTTTAATCGAGGAAACTGTTCAGACACCAGTAAAATAAAATTATCTAAGTAAAACTAAGTGAAATTGTCTTGTTTTTTTCAGAGAGATGTCAAGAGTACTTTACATATTACCATGCAGGAAGTAAAAGTACCCTGTGCTGCCAAGAGACAGCAAGAAATGTAATCTTTGAAATGTAAAGAATTTAATGAAAGCCAAAGGAACAAGATCAAATGCAGTTGAAATCAGCTGCAAATTGAAATTAGTTAGTGGGATAAAAATGTGTTCTAGAGCAGCTTAAAGGTATTTAAATATATAAGTATATAATTTAAAAACTATGCAAACAAAAGTTGAGAATGTCTTGGTTGTGGAACTTGTCGCCTGAGAAGGTTGCACTTTTTCTGATGTATTTTGTTTTACTGAAGTTAAAAATGTGTTCCTTGTTTTGAAACAGATCCGTGGTGGGAAGCTGATGATCTCCAACACCAGAAAAAGTGATGCAGGAATGTACACATGTGTGGGGACCAACATGGTGGGGGAACGTGACAGTGACCCTGCAGAGCTGACTGTCTTTGGTAAGACCCCTGCTTTTATTGCTTTTTCCCTACAAATGTCATAGGCTGAATTACCCTGGGCAGCTCCTCAAAACATGAGACAAAGCAAGGGAAACAAAACACAGCAGGACTGCTCAAGATGCATTTTAGAGCTTCAGAGGGAGACCAGGTTTTAAAGGCTGCAGTTTATAATGATGGATCTGTGGTGGCTCAACATCTTCCTTCTAAGCACATAGTTTCAGTCTGATTGGAGGTCCACAGTGATGTGCATAACCAGAGATGTTATTGCATGACAATGCTCTCCCTCACAGAATGGCCAAATGGAATTAACTACTTCTTATACAGTTGACAATGCCTGCTTACCACATATTTAGACCAAGATTGCCTATTTAAATAATGCCATATTCCTGAGGAGTTGTGAAATCAAACCTTTGTAGGAAAGCACAAAAAACTCAGCTGATCAGTAAAACATCATTAGCGACCGTTCCAAAATCAAATTTTTAAATATATAAATGTAACTTTTATAATTTGTTTTTAAGAGGGCCTGAAACAGCTTTTTCTCCTGTAATCCAGGACAGCATTTAGATTTTTGGTGCTGCTGAATTAAAAATGAATAAGCTTCCTGTGTGAAAGGGCTTCTAGACCTGATGGGTGAGGCAAGAAGTTGGTTGTTAGGAGCACTTGCCCCATGGTTAGGGCCCAGAGCAAGAACAGAGTAATAACCCAACCTAGAGCTGGATCCATCCTGCTAACAACTGGATAAGAAGCAAAGCCACAGAATCATGCTGTGGTGCATCCTACGGTCATAGGAATTAGTCAAGAGGTTCTGAGCAAACAAAGGGAAGATCAATAAGGAAGAAACCCTTGTTGATAAGGAAAATATGTCATGCTGACAAAAGAGACAGCAATAGTGTTAATGTTCCGTCCTACTACACCTCTTTGATACGGTACTGAAATTCCAAACAAGACCCTTTGAAACCCCAGAGAGATGTTTAATAGAAATCCTAAGGTCCTTTGGGAAGCAGATACTCCAGAGTTTTTCACCTTCTCCCTGATATGGTGCACTGGAAAACCCAGTCACACATCCCAGTTTTTTGCATGTATGTGCAATTCAGCATTTGTTTATTCACTTAAAAAATATATATATATTATATGAATCACAAAAGTCAGAGAAAGATTTTTGCTAGACAAGATCCATGAATTTCTGAGGATATGCTGCTTTTCAGCATTTCAAGACTAAAAAGGTTTCCACTCCAACTGGTTTGTTGTGGATTCATGGAAACACGTGGCTTTTAAAGGCAGAACTATTATACCTCGCAAAAAAAAATCAGAAAAAAAAAAACAAAACCAAAAAACAGAGAATGGATCTCTGTAAAATTAAATGCCCTTTGCAGCCAGTCTGTTGTAGTTGTAGCTTAATACAGATGCAAAAGAGACATGACATATCTCCTTCATCAGTTTAAGTACTGCTAATCTCTGGTAATACTCCCTGTGGATAGCAAGCAGATTGCAGTCCTAAACTACAAAGCCTTAAGAAATCCTTAAGAAAATAGTTTGTTAAAAAGCATTGACCTGTAGGAATGAAAACTGAAATGTGCCTGTAATTTCATATCCTGCTATGAAACTTATTAGGTTCATCTTGATATGTAAAGTAATACATAACCAATTACAATATTCTAATTTTTTTTACAGAGCATAATCATAGCAATCAACTTGCAAAAATACAATCTAAAACTATTTGGTGAATACCAAACAAAATCAGCAATAAATGAAATTAGATATTTTAATCTTTCTTAATTGTGTTAGACTACCTGAAGAAAATTGTATTTAAAATTCCCTACGGTGGTATATTCCTTCTGTCTGAGTATCCCAAGATACCTCCCCACCTTCCTTTTTGCTGTGCAAGAATGGCATGCAGGAAGCAGGTGCTTAGGTTGTGACCTGCTGTTTCACAAGGTGGTTTGGCTGCCCTGTGCCCATTTCCTGGCCCTGAAGCTCTGTGCTGCTGCACTGGGCTCACTGTAACATCGTGTCCAGGGTAGTCCTGGTCCTCTCCATACAAAAGGAGGGGATTTGCCCATGCTTTCCAGCAGTTATATTCCATTTTTGGACTCTAGGCAGCAGCCCATGTGTGAGCAGGGATGTACACAGTGACTGGAGAGCATTATCCATGGTGTTTCCAGGAAGCAATGTATCTACTGGACAGTCCAATCACTCTAAACACTCACAATAAATTCAATAAATCCAATGACTCTGGGAAACATCAGATTGGCTCTGTGTGTTCAAATTGGCTTCACTGAGTGCAGGCAAAACCACCAGGATCGTATGTTAGGTCCATAGCCTACCTCTAATATGAGTCATGGGTCTGAGGAACATGGGAATACTGCAAATGTTGATGAAAAATATGCTAGAAATACTTATATGCAATTCTTGTGCCAAACTGTAACTGCTTTGAACATATTTGAAAATGGACTTCACAATAAAAATAAGGAGATCTTGACTGAGTGACTTGGAAAAAAATTTTATAAGGGACTGGAAAACTTATAGCTGGTGCTGATTTCAGAATGGAATGTATATTAATTAGCTGATAAGTTATGTCTTCATTCCTTTCCCAAATAACAACCTTCCAAACCCTTTCCACAGTGTGAAGGGAGCCTTAGTAAACATATTATGTAGGAAAAGGAACTGGTTCATACTAGCTCTCAAACCTTTCCAGAAACCATCTACTTGTTACTTTTGGCATTGCAAGTTTTTCTGTAATACCTGAAGTTAACTTCTGCATGTGACTTGTGACAGATCTCTGGCTTCCTGCACAGTAAATTTAGCTTGAGGCATTGCCTCTGGAAAAACTGAGTCAGTGTAGTGGGAACTGGTGGCCCAAGGGGAACAGCATGGAAGCCTACTCTGAAAGATTACACTTTTCCTGAATTTAAAAACAATAAAATAAAATTGGTCATAAGAACCTTGAGAAGCAGTAGGGGGAGAAAATAAAATTTTCCCATGTGCAGAATATGTCCACTTGGCTAGGTACCCATTTAATAACCTTTACTGACAGATAGTTATGAATAATACATGTAGAACTTCCACTTTTTTTCCCAATTTTACCTGCATAGGAAGCATTGTTTTCAACATTTAGGCACTCTTAACAGTAAACTGGTTGTGTCAATGTAGATTGCATTAGTTTTGTTCCCAAGTCATGATTCCTCTATTAGCAGAAAATTGGCAAACTTTCATAGTAAAATACCATAAAGATCATATAAGCAGAGCTATCCAAAACTGTGTTTTGAATAGTGACGAAGATGCACTACGTTTTGTTAGTCTTCTTTTTTCAAGCATTACTGCTAGTTTTTTGCCTTTATGAGGCTCCAAGGGGTAATCTTGGAGTAAAGCACAAAGACAGGGTCTGTCACAGTCTTAAGTTGCATTTTAATGGAAGTTAATAACCTCAGTCCTAATGTTCACAAAAAGAGGCAGCATGGGACTTGATTATTGTGTGCACACTATTCTAAAGGCCAATTTCCAAAGTGTAAGTGATACAAATTAGGTTGCATTGCTTGTGTTTGGGCTCATAGCCCTTGGCTGAACAGAATTAAAGCAAGATGCAAAACAGAAACAGTTTAATTCCAATTTGTAAGAAAGCTTTGTTTGTAAATACATAATATGGAGCCAGAAATTAAATAAAGTAGGAATTACTCTTTATGATAACCTTTATCATTTTGTCATGCTACTTCACCATTCTGAGATAAGTTTTCAAGTTAACTGTTTCATGTTCTTCTATTTCCCTTTGCACTTAAAATGGCATGTTTGAAGAGGATGCACAAAGGTATATCTTGTATATTGATTCTCAAGCTCAGTGAAATCAATGAAAGCCATAGTATATCAGTTTCAAGAGGCTGGCATTGAGCAATGGAAAAAGATATATTTAGAAGAGCCTCAAAAGAATATAAAGCATAAGTAAGAGTAAAAAATATCTTTAAAAGATATCTCAATTTGGACATATTAAAGATTGTTTTGTATTAATCTTTGATTTTATCTTTGGTATCTGAAGCTTTTTTCAGCTAATAAGGTCCTGTGGGATGAAGAGGTATTCTTGTCTGATGCTTGAGGAAGTATTTGTGTTTGATGTTTTGTAGATATTGTCAGACTGAAAGAGAAACCCTAGTTTCAGAAAAAGAATGACTATGATGACATGGTGTTACAAGAAAAAAAATCCCCTAAATCCCTTAAATGAAGACACTGTGCCCTATTTTGCTTTTTTGAGCTTTGCCTATGTGGAAGGCCTAAGCTGAGTCTTGACCCATTCTATCCTGGAAAGCTTTACCAGTCACGTGGAAAAATCTACCAAAACCAGGTATACATTCATAGGTCAAGACAGAGAAATTAGCAGGGTATATTTTGTCCTTCAGATCAAATATCCTCCTGGTTTTCTTCGAATCCCTGTATTTTCCACTTGCATTCTACTTGTGGCAGTTAGCAAAAAAGCCAGTTTAGCTTTAGATTATTTGTTATCCACAGATACCAAGAAGTTGTTATAGAATAACGATACAGCTCTGAAAAAAGTGTCTGATTTGGTCCCCAAAGTCTGTATGTAACAGTCAGTAAAAACTGTAAATAACATGATTGTAGACTTATATAAAAGGAGAAAACCACTAGCAACTGATAACATTCATTTTGCTTCATTTGGCTCTTACTGGTGTTCCATGCCTTTACTGTGCAAGCTCATCACACCTTGGGTGCTGTTTAGAGTGTAGGAGTTTGAGATGTCTACATGAGTGCTTATTTCTCAAATGAAAAAGGGGAAAGTGCCTGAAAAGATACAGTAGAAGAATGTCTATAAATATAAAACCACATTCTTTTGCAATTCTATTTTCATTTATTTTGCCAACATAGGTAAATTTAGTGAGGTTGTAATATCCTGTCTTCTTCCACATGTTCTCTTTTTGTCAGAGAGCTTTGCTTCATCCAGATCACATTGCATTTAATAAAATATATATGCCATTGACAGCATTCTGAAGTGAAACATACTTCCAACCATCTAATGTTTCCTTTTTTTCCCTTTTGAATCAGAATGCTAAAGTGCAAAAAGTTTTTAAATGTAACTACTTCCTGCTAAATCCCTCCCCAAAATCTTTTCATTTGTGTTTTAATGTTCTTTTTAGAACACAAAAACATTTTTAAAAAATGATGCCTTCTATCCAGCAAAGACAGGGAAAACAAGAACAATTCTAAATCAGATTGAGGCTCTACATTATGAAGACTATCAAATCCTTCATTCAAGCAGTTGCCTCAGCAGAGAAAATATATTAAGGTAGTTAGGATCATTTTAATTAGATTGAGACCCCATATATGGTTGTCTAACTTTTTGAGGAACATGAAAAGGGCAATAATACATCTGAAGGTCATCTGAGTCTCTCTAATAGACTGTGAAACTCAGACCAATTGTTAAATATGGGGAAAATTGAGTTCTGAGGTTAACTTGTGTCAGCACCCAGAGCAAGAAAAGCATTTTGCTGTTTCTGGCTCAGATCTGTAGGTTTCCTTGCAGCACATACTTCGAGCTCTGCAACAGATTGTAGGTGTGTGTCCAGATTGCATTAACAATCCCCTTTTATAACTGCAAGCAAAGTTTATTCTGAAGTAATAAAGGTCACCCTAGTAATAGCATGACTGGTTGACATGACATATAACCATGACCTATTTTATAGTTCTCTTCAAAGATTTTTAATATTCATCAGAGAAAGTCTGGGAAGTGGGTACTTTATTTACTCAGTGAAAGCTTATAAAATAGCTATATTAAAATTTTTATATATGCCTATGATTTTAATTTATCACCCTTTCTTGTTGTTTCTCAAATATATTGTGCTCTGTATGCTGTTGACAGAGTAACAATATTTAATTATACCACAAAGCTTTATTTATGGTCAAACCATTTCAGAAGAAAAAATATTATTTTTTTTTCCCCAAGACTAGCTCTGAAACTAAGTTTGACCTGGCTGTGCACAGAAGCCTTCTTTATTTAGCATGCTTGGGCAAGCAGTGCTCTGTCTCCTGAGAGATTAACATTGTAAGCAAGTTCTGCAGGTGACTCAAATCCAGTTAATCTCACATAAAGAATGTTAATTGCATTGGCAATGGCATTCACTCTGATCACTTTATAGCTGTATAATTAGCTATTGGACATATTCAAGGGGCTTTCTGAGTGATACAAATACAGGAAGCACCATAAGAGATAACTTGTTCTTTCCTGATTCACGCTGTGCAAAATGCAGAGATGATGCAAAAATGGAAACAGCAGTTGTTGGTATTTGCATGTCCTTGCTAACTGGGCTCTGTGCTTACACAGCTATTAATTTTCCAGCAAATTCTTAAATGTTTTTGAAAATATACAGTTTTAGAAGCTGATATGAAACAAACATGTGTGTATTCTCCTAAATTGCCTTGATATGGAATCCAATGATTTATCTAATGACCTCAGGGCCATTTACTTTTTCCTCAGCTGGGTTCTCCTTAAAATGAGACAAGAATTTATTTTCTCATCTCCTGTACAGGAGAATTTACAGCTGCAAGTAGCTGTATGCACATTCTCATTTCTATGCTGTTTACATGCAGCTTTTGTAAACCTGGTCTAAAATGATTTTTGTATGCAGATCAAGCACAGACAAACACAGAGTTGTTTAAATTCAGTGAGGATGAACTAGGGTCTCTAAAGCACCAATTAGAATGCTGATATGGATTTAAATTTCTTCATTTAAGATCATGTCTTGAAAACCAAATGCCAGAATTAAGATTATTCTGTATGAGCTGAGAATAGGAGTTGGCCTAAGCTCTTCTTAGGAGAGAAGTTGTGAAAAAGATGCTGTTGCAAATTTGCAGAAAGTGTCATTAAAATATTCCCATCCAGATTCACATGGTTACAGATGGGCCAAGTATGTTGCTTAGCATTAGGATTAAAAATGGGTTTTTTTTGCTTTGTCCAGTTGTAATAAGTTTATCAGATTAAAATGGCTTTATTCAAAATTTTCCATGCCTAACTGGAAAACTGATTTTAGTTGACAAAATGCAATTGACAAAATAATTCGCTCTTCTGTAAGAATGTTGAAGTTCTTGCAGTTTGGAGGCCAAGGGGATAATTGGAGTGAAATGGGCAGGAATGAGAGGAATGGAGGAAGCTTTTTGTCCTGAAGTGCAGGTGCCTCATACTGGATATCACGTACCTAAAATATGTTGGGAAATAGCTACACTATTTTTTTGGCTTGTCCAGACAATTTTCACTAAACTTAAACAAATATGGATCTGCCTAAAAAAAAAAAAAGTAATAATCATCAATTCATACATCAGAGAACCCATAAATTAAGATCTGGGCAGCATTTTCCTGTATCTACACTGTGTTCCTGCTGCTGTCACTGTCCTGGGAGGATCCTTGGGTACTTCAGCTGATTTTTCTTGTGTTAATTTTGTGGATGGGCTGTATTTGGGTGACCTGGGGAAAAGGAGCTCCAGTTTAAGTGCAGATCAAACACTCAGTGGAGAAGAGTCCATTTCCTGTGAGGTATGAAAAAGGAGAGGCATGGTAGTTGGAAGGGGATCTGGACTTGAGAACTTGCTGGGTTCCAGGTGTGAAAAGTGATCTTTCTGGGCTAAAAGAAAAAGATAAAATGACTAAAGAAACAGCAGCTGAATAGGTCTTGTACGCAGACTTGAAAAATTACAAAGAGCTGGATATGGCTTGTACACTGACTTAAAATGGGAAATTATAAAGATTTCAATATAAGTAGAGAGGCTAGAAGTGAATTTACTTGCCCAAACATTGCTGGAATCTGAAGATCCTGGGCAGGAATAGGAATAGGACAAAAGCAATGGCTTGGGGAGAAGAATCTTTGCCCGTTAGCCATGCTTTTATCTCTATCATCTGGAAAGGTGCTATAGATTCTTGAGCATGTCTATTCTTCTGCTGACAAAATATGTTTTCCCCTGCCAATAGGTTTCCCTGCTAATAAGGAATTCCTGTGTGATGCTGTCACTCATTTACATAATTACTAACAGGTGGTTTTGTGTTCCTCATTTTCTGATTGATACTCCGATTTGTAAAAATGATGAACACTTTTTTGTCTGCAGTTGAATTAATGGAAGCTGAGCTTTGAACACACAAAATTAAAACTTCATTTCCATCCAACACCTCCTCATCCTCTCAAAAAAAAAAAAAAATTGTCAGTTTTGTGGCTCATCAAAATTGTCAGTTTTGTGGCTAATCAAAATTTAGCAGATATTTTTTACCTTGCATTCTAAGATCTCTATCGTACCTCAGAGAGGAGCTATGAAAATAAGTGAGGTGATTATAAAGCATTAAGATAGGTGTAATAGAGGTCATGAGGAAATTAATAATTCTGTCTTTGAAATACATTTTGAGTAGTAAGGTAGCAGGCCACCCTCTAAACAGTACAACTAAAGCAAAATATTAAACACCTAATTATATATTATTATAAATATTAAACACCTAATTATTATATTAAATGAATACCAACAATCTGGAGATGTTTGGGGGAAAAATAGTGTGTGAACATAAAATTGCAACCAGTCTCATAAGGCATCATAAACAGAAGGGAAGTGATTAAAAGACATGCAGACAGCCTTAATTCTGCCAGTAAGTGTGGCCTGCTTTATATTGCAACCTTTATAATGTTCTTTTCACTTTTTAAATAAATTATTTGCATATAATAATCGTGCATAACAAACCTGTAAAATTAACTCTGTAGTTATCAAGATAAATTTCCTGAGTCAGAATCTGGTCTTGCTTGTATTTTTGTGAATTCTGAGTAATTTTTTTAAGTGACATCATATCCCTTAACTTGCTGAGAGTGAAATATGAAACATAGTGTGTAACCAGTTTTATATGTCCTTATGATAAATCCCTGTCTTGAGTGGAAATACTGTTTCACATAAACCCAGCCTTATAATGGTTTGACTAGCATAAATAATTTCTGACAATAAAAGTGTGGTATGGCTGAGAGGACAGAACAAAATTTGTTCCTTCTAAAGGCAACTTGGAAACTAACCCCAGTGACATCCTTTCAAATTAAATTACCGGTACTTGGATTTTGTAGCAGTACAACTGAGATCAGATTGTGGCTCTGCATCTGGATTTTAAGCAGGCCTGTACAGCATTATGGTGATTAATACTATTTGTCGCTGTGCAGCCTAACATAACAAGGGTAAACACAAGTTATTATTCAGACCTTAATTTGGTTTTCCATGGTGAAGTTGGCGATGGGGATCGGGGAATCTCTGTCCTGCGCACGACAGTTCACAATTGCCTGAGGTGCATATCACAGAGCTTAAATTTTCCTCTGAAGCATCAAGGTATTGATCACTGCCAAAGGCAGGCTGGCTCCATGGGCAGCTCATACATGGCTGCAGCAGGAGCTCCCAGCTCGGGCTTTGTCTGCAGTGCTGCAGAGCCACAGTTTTTCCAGGGAAGGGCACGGCCTCAGAGGCCACTCTGCTGTCTGGCAGGTGGCCCGTCAGTCCTGGCACAGGCTGCCTTCTGGTCCCCCTTCCCATTCTCTTCCTGCTGGAGGGTAGGATGGGACAGCCCTTGCCTCTCCAGCCTGGCAGCCCTCTTCCTAGCTCTTTATGCACATCATCAGTTCCACTTGTCTGAATTTGTGGAGCTCAGCCTCCTTTCTGTTTGATGGATGGGTAAGCAGCAAGATGCTGAAAAGTCAAAAAGTGTTCATTTCAGCCCTCTGACTCACTGTGGAATTTTAATGTCTCTTTCCAGAGCGGCCCACGTTTCTCAGGCGACCGATTAACCAAGTGGTGCTGGAGGAGGAGGCCGTGGATTTTCGGTGCCAGGTGCAGGGGGATCCCACACCCACAGTGCGGTGGAAGAAAGATGATGCAGACTTACCAAGGGGAAGGTGAGAGCCACATTCACATTCACTTTCTGTCGGAATCTGAGGTATTGTAGAAAGTCTCTGTCTGTCACCCCGCTGCCAAAGCAGAAGCCATAATTGGTCTGTGCTGGTTTCCAGGTTGTTTATTCTGTTTATCTCTCACATGTTCTGCTGCCCTGCCCAGCTCTGTCCTGCAGGGCAGCGTGT